AGCCTTGCCTGCCTCAGTTTACCCTACTTCCTGTCTCATCTGTGAGTTCTGTGATGGGAACAGTCAGAGATGGGAGGTCCTCGATGTGCGGGCATCCCCACTGGTGGTAAGAAACAGTGCTTTACCTGAATCCAGAGGACTCCTTCCTGACAGCAAGGAAATGACTTAGTAGCGGGGTGTGGATGCTGTTATGACGTTGTCGGTGGGGGAGATGATACCTTAGAGTGACTGGCATGCTAACAGACAGGGAGATCAAACAGGCCCTAGGAGGGGGCCGCCCTGTAAGCACTGTTTTGTGCAAGTCGAGGAGGGGAGTTGTTCTGGGGAACACCACAAGGGAGGGTATTTTGGTTTTGCCTTGGATAATTCAAATTTCCATTTTCTCTCTCAATGACATGTTACACACCAATTGAAAAGGGGAGGTGGCCTGATCTTCACCAGACCAAAAGGTTGCTTTGATGAAAGGCTGTTTGGGGCTTTAAATATCAAACCCAGAATATAGTAGAGGAATCCATTAACCAACCTGATGTATTCTGTTCATCCTGGCCAGTGCTGTCTGTAACTTGCAGGTGAAAGTCAGCCAAAGAACTGGTTCACCTAGCTGTGCATAGCTTTGCTAAATGGGTTTGGAGACTGAGATCACAAGTGAAGGGTTAGCATCCCCAGTTGTTAGAATGGCCTTAAACTGAATCACCTGAATGCTTACCAGCCAGAAACTTTATAGGATAACAAGTTTAAATCATCGTATAATTCTGTCACCATATTTGTTAATGTGTGGCCTGTGTTTGTCTCTAAATATATATACCTTACAAAAAACTCACCCACATAATAAAAATGTCTATCACTATACATCTAAAACATCATTTTATAAGCTCCAAAATAAAAATGTTCAAGTATCAGGAACTTATCTTGGAGAAAATACCTATGTGTATATATTTTTTTCCCATTAAGTTTATTGGTACATTTAAAGCAAACAATATAGTTACATTTATCATTGTCTGTGTATATTTTTTTTTAATGGAGAATAATTCTGGAAGAACACAGACTTAATGAGAAGAAGGACTTACCTGGGTGACTTGTTTTCTGCATTTTGGGTATTTCCTAGCAATTTATAAAAGTATATTTTCGATCGTCATTGCAGTCATGCTGTGTTTAGGATTTGTATCCTGTGACATCACCTAATGTTACCCAGTGGCACTGGCCCCTGTCCCTGGTGGCTGTTGGGTATTTTTCACTTGGGGAGGCTATGATTCTTTTTCCTTCCTGTCATAGACCATTTGGATTGCTCCTGATTTTTCACATTGTGTCAGTAATCTGCTGTGAGTAGTTACGCCCTGGAGTTGCTTTGTTTCCTTGTTGGAATACTCTTCAGGATTCAATTATGGAAGTGTAGTCTTGGGTTAAAAGATTCCATTTTTAAGGTTGTCAGTCATATGAACAGACTGGTTTTAGGAGTTTCTACAAACAGGTTCTTGTTCGTTGTTTATAATAAAACCAGCATTGTAGTTAGCTGTTATTGGGTCTCTTTTTTATGATATTCCCTTTATTATAGCAACTGGGTACTTTAAACCTTTTCTTACATCAATACCTTTATTTTCCTTATCCCTTTTAATTTTAATTTTTATATTTTATTTCTATGTGATGGGTAACTTGGGGAACTGATACATATACATGTTGCATCTTGATTGTTTTGCTCCTCTTTCTCCCCCTCTTCCCCGGATTCCCTTATTCATTTTTAAAACAGAACTTTTGACCTTATTCCTAGACATATTTATGAATAGTGCATTACAAATATTATATGTAAATGTAAAAAAATGCTTTTTCACAAAAATCAATTTTTGAATTAAAAAGGAACCATACCCCTCCAAAAAAAAAGTTTTTTAAAAAGAAAAAAGATCCTTATACAGTCACTACTAACATTTTGTGAAATCGCCACTCTCTTTTCTATGAATTCACCTACTTGGAGTAAAAGTATGTGTCATTTTTCTATATTGCCTTTTTATTTCACATTTTCATAGCAGTCATTTCTTCCTCATTGCTATGTGGTCTTCCTGTCATGTTTAATGGTACAAATTATTCCATTGATTTCATGTCCCATAATTCAGTGAACTGTCCCCTCATGAACCGTTAGGCCATTTGCAAGTTTCTGCTTTTATGGCACAGTGGTAAGTGTAGACTGGGTTCAGATCCCCAAAGTGGAGGGACTGAGTCTGAGTTTAAATTTCTGTTGACCCAGTGTTTTCACTCATTCCTGTTTTCTGGGTTGGTCTTAATTGTCAAAACTCCATTTTTATTTTATTATTATTATTTTTTTTTTTTGAGACAGGGTCTCATTATGTAGTTGAGACTGACCTGGAACTCACTATGTAGCTCAGGCTGGTCTCTAACTCAGCGATCCTCCTGCCTCAGCCTCCCGAGTTCTGGGACTACAGGCATGCACCACTACACCTGGTCTCAAAACTCCATCTTAATGACCACATGAAAACCAGGGTGTTGCGTTAGCAGAGCATTGGGGGACTGTGATGTCCTCAGGAACCAAACTACTCACTCGGGGGCCTTTGGTTCGCAGAGTGACCCTGGGGGGCTCCAGAAGCGCCAAGAGTGCAGGTGGGGGCTTCTCTTGAGTGCCCTTGGGTACCACATAATGCACGCAGCCCCCACTCACAGAAGCCTTTTGTGCCATGGCCTTTGCCAGGTGGGAAGGAAAACTCGCAGAGGCCGGGAGGTAATCCTCATGTAACCCCTTCTTTTTTCTCTCCCCTTTTTCTTTTGTAAGGCCATCATCAAGGGAGGATGGAAATGCATTTATGGTTTCTTTCTTCTGTGAAAGCAAGCTGCAGCAGGTTCGTTTTCAAAAATGCAAAACGGACGGAGTTCATAAACGCGTCTTTGTTGACCGTGAGCTGTGCGGTTTGGGCCCCAGAGTTATCTCCGATAGCACAAATAAGTCTGGCGGCCTCCAGTTGTCTCAGCAAAGCATTAGCTCCTCCCCCGCTGTCTCCCTCCTCGCAGATTTCCTCTTGGCCTTCGGCAGCCCAGACTCGCTCCTCTCATTAATATGCCCTGTTAACTGCTGCCAAACCTCTAGCAGTTTAGTGCGAATGCTCCCTTAATCATTTCTCTTTGTTCGAGAAGTCTGGGTCGGTTTCTGCACACCCCCTTCCTGCGCCCCAGCCCCAGCCCCAGGCCCCTTCCACCATCACTGTGGCTGGCTGGGGCATGACTGTCTCCTGACCACATGTTTATTTAGAGAACCTCGGAGAGCGCTTGCCACGCAGAGGGCCTCTGCGGTGGGCTCCAGGTGCGAATTCCCCCCTTCTGCCCATCCCTCTCCAGAGCCCTGGGCCTCAGGAGCCCAGGTGAAGGGTGCTGAACCCAAGAGAAAGCAGGGGTTCTGGAAGATAATGTTAATTCCCTGTGTGGAGGAAGAGTCCCTCTTAGGGCTCCCTCCCGGTCTGAACCAAGAAAAGCACGCTTTATTCCTGGTGCCTAGGGTTGTATGGGCATACTCGAGCTCAGTGGGCTTTCACAGCATCCAAGAGAAACACCCGTGGGGCTGTATTTCACGTGTGGTGGGTGTGGACTGGCCCATGCCGGGGATCCTGGGGAGCCCTGTCCCCACCTGGGCCAGAACCTGGCTCCTCTTACCCTAAGCGGGGCCTGCTAGAGCAGAGCTCTCAGGCCCTGGGGCACAGGGCGGGGATGTGGTGCGGCTTTGCTTTTCTGCTCCTGAGGTTTTTCCTTCCAGTACTGAGTGCCAGCCAGTCGTAAAGTTCCACCCGCCCAGAGGAGAGGCGAGAGCCAGTGCAGCGCCAGCTTTCTTCAGAGCTCAGGCGTCTCCTCCCAGGGTGCTGTGGACCTCTCCAGGGTGATTATTAGAAACTTTACGCTCAGAACACCAGCTCTCCCTCGTGTCTGCCCTGCTGCTCCCCCCAAAGCAAATTGCCACGCAGAGCGGGCAGGCCTGGTCCCTGCCGCCACATCCGGCCACAAATGCTGCCAGCAGCCTCTGCGAAGGTGGAGGAAAAACTCCCGACGTGGAGTGAAAATGTGTAGAACTGAGTTTCTCAGAGAACGTTCTCAGAGTGAGGGATTTTGCCTCTGTGTGTGTGTGTGTGTGTGTGTCCCTTTCATTTTTGGGGAAAAACCCAGCTAAGTTTGACCTGCTAGGGGGAGATTAGTGTGCTTTTCTTCCTGTCCCCAAAAGGAAAGTTTGTATTCTTTTACATGAAACCATTTTTAAAGCAGAACTGAAGCCTAAAATGATGCAGGGTTCTCTTGAGCTCTCAGAAGGTGTAGATTTATTTACTGTAGTTAAAACATAATTAGTTCTCAGGGGATAGTGTATCTTTTAAACGGCTTTATAGCCACCATATTGGTTTTTCTGAATAATCAGAAACTTCTGTTATGATTGTGTACCAGCGTTCCAACAGAAACACACCGTAAGTAGAAACAAATGTTGGGATTTGCCAGTTGTCACTCGAAGAAGGTACACACGTCAGAGGGAGAGAAAGAACTTGATCAGATCCTCAAAAAAATATAATCTAACCAAGTCTTAAACTGAACAACAGCTCAGGCAAGTTCACCTTTCCTTCTCATCTGATAAATCTACACCCTTTTTTGTCATTAAATGACATTTTCTTCATTTTTACTTCTCAATCATTTTCTTCATAGAAACTAGAAGGAAGCCAGGTGTGGTGGTGCCTGTAATCCCAGCACTCAGGAGGTCGAGGCAGGAGGATCATCATAAGGTCAAGGCCAGCCTGAACTACGTAGTGAGACCCTGTCTCAATAAATTAATGAATAAATAAATAAATAAGCTAGAAGGAGAGTAACATCCCTGTACCTGTGCATCTCTACGGATTGTGGAAATCCTCAAGTTGGCCCTTCCTGGGCCACACTTGCAGAGGTGCAGACAAGCCCTGCCCACTTCCTGTCTGCGCCGGTGGCCCAGCCGCCTGTGTCTTGTTCTAGCTGACCGGTTTTCCCACCGTTTGCAGGTTGATGTTGGAGGTGCCACAGGAAATGGGTTTAATAGCCATCGCAGTCCGGCAGACTCAGGGCAAAGGTCAGTCATCTTTTGTTATCATTGCCGTTATTTTTCTTTTCTAAAATCTGTGATCCGGTGGCCAGAGAGCCTGCTGATTGTGTGTGCTAATCCCTGGGAGTTCGAATTGGAATCTGCTGGGTGTTCACGCTCGCTGGAAACAGGACAAGAGGGAGAGACCTTGGCAGGAAGATTTTAGCCTTAGTGGAGTGAAGTGATTCTGTCAAGCTGCTGGTCTGCTGATCACTTGACATTTCCAGTGATCGCTTTGACATCCAGGGACCGGACACATCTGTATCCCGAAGATCCTCTGGGAGGTCTAGAACAAGCTGTATCCGAAGGGCAGTCGGGGAGAAGGGCTTCCCCCGCCCGGCCCCTCCAGTTAGCGCTGGTTTGTAGGCGTGGCCCTCTCGCAGTGCCCTTCCCACAGTGACCCAGAGAAGCGGAGCAGCGTGTTCCCTCCACCTGTGCGTCATAGGCAGGCGCCAGAGTCCTGCAAAGCTGGGGGCAGCTCCTGGGCCCCGCACCTCACACCCCACAGCACCCGGTCTCCACTCCCTCGTGTGCTTTCAGCCCTGGGGCTCTTTCCACTTTCTGAGAAGCAGCAGAGAGGAAAAAGAGATCTGCTGCTTTCCACTTCTTGCTCTTGAGCAAAACTCAAAAAGAAGAAAAAAATTATTTTACCAAAAGCTATAGGACTCAGTACGATGTGTTTTTAAAAAGCATCTAGAAGAACTTTGATTCACAGTATTCCTCACTTGACGACTTTGCTTTCCTAACTGGACGACGAGTAACAACTCAGAGTTAGGGTCAGGGGTCAGCTTTTACCAAGGACTGTACTGAGATGGAATCCGTACACCAGAGTCCCCCATGGGAAGCGAGCAGCTCTGGGTTTTAGTGTATTCTCTGGATTGTGCAAATACCACAACAGGGATTAAAAAGCGGCTCCCAACACTTCCGGGATGAGAGCGGGTTTTTTCCGGGGTCCTTACCTCTATTCTCAGTCTTGACCGTCTGGTGAGAATGAAACCCAGGGCGATGTTCAGACGCTGTTCGCTTTAACCATCAGGGCATAAGTGCTGTGCTCACAGAGGTGGGCATTGTGCTCCTTCTCGGAAAGGGTTTCAGCAGCTTCTCTGACATTTTGAGGCTTCTTTCTTTGATTGAATGACCCAGAACGTGCAGGTGTGTGCTAAGCGCACGTGACTGAAGGGACAGCTGTCATGAGCGGCTCTGGCCTTCACAGGACTTCCTTGTGAGGCAGCGCTTTGCCAACCGGCCTGTCTTCCAGGGCGAGGGCCGAATGCGTGGCTGAGCCCCTTGGGATGCGCCCTTTCTACCGTGCTGGTGTCCGTCCCCCTGCGGTCCCAGCTGGGACAGAGGATTCCGTTTGTCCAGCACCTGATGTCCCTGGCCATCGTGGAGGCAGTGCGGTCCATTCCCGAGTACCAGGTATGTGCGGTTTAAATACTAAGTCATCACCTCCTTTTTGAGCTTGCAGAATTTGGCTTGTTTTGTTTGCGTATTTGGTGGATGGGGCTGGAGCTGCCCCTTGCCCTTTGCACAGCTGGCAGCAAAGTGTCCTTGACGTTTCACAGCACTGTCAGTTCCTCCGGCACACTGCTCCCCGAACCCACTTCCGGCCTCCTTGTCCCGTTCTCCACATCCTGCCCTGAATACGGTGGGCTGGATGGAAAACACTGCGTCTTCTCATCTCATGGACCCGGAAGCCTTCTCGTTTCCTACCTCCGTTTACCACCGTACCCGCTCTGCACAGCCTCCGTTTGTCTGTGGTTGGGCACCGCCTCCCTCAGCTATAAGGACAGATGTGCCCGCGTCACTATTATGGCCTGATGCCTTGGTCTCAGCCATGAGAAGACAAGGGGAAGACAGCAAGGAACCCAGTGCCTGGAGCGTTTCTTCTACTTCCCATGTGCCAGGTCCCAGAGGTTCCTGGGAGAAGCTTATATTCTTCTAAAAGGAGCTCCCTCCCCGCCTGCCTCCTGCCTGGGGCTTAGGTCAGGTTGAAAGCAAAGCTGTCATCTTGATTCCTCAAGCAAAATGTTAAAGCGGAGCTCCCAGAGGACACAAGGGCTGTCACCGGCAGTTAAATGATGGGACGGTCCCTTCCTCTCCAGGCCCCCGGGATGTATCCTGTGCTCACAGCGTACGTGCGTCTCCGCTGCCTTCGGTGCTCCCTGCACTGTGTGAGGTCACTGGCACCTGTGTGCTGGGATCCTCACACCATTGCTGCCCTCTTGGGCCCCATCTGCAGCTCCCTAGCTGGACTTCCCCTTGTAGGAAACGTCAGAATGGAAGAGTCTATCGTGACAGTGGCCTTTTTAACCCCAGTAGCAAGGTAACTGGTCTTAGAAAACAAATCAGATACTGAGCCTAAGATGAAGACAGCTTGTTTACCTGAGCCTCCCTAGCAGAGTTCTTTGAGTTCCTGCTGTGTGTCAAGGCGGTGCCAGGTGCCGAGGCTGGTGGGGAGGCAGGAAGCCGGCCCTTCCTGGTGCCCCTGAAGGAGCTGCCCCAAAGGTCTCGTCCTGTTTGCAGTCGTCCTTGTCAGCCTTGCTGGCCTGAGGCAACTTTGTTTTTTAATTGAGTTTTTAAAATTTTCATTTTGCTCTTTGATTTATTTATACTTTGGGGTTCTTATCTAAGAGAAGCCATGCCATGTTGAAGCTTGTGTGTCTGAATTGGGTTTTTGACACCGCCCAGTTGGCCCGTGTGGAGGAACCACTAGATGTCAGCCCCAGTCCGGGAGTTTGCTTTCCTGTGGCCTCCTCTGGGGCATCAGATGTCACAGTCAGCCCGCAAATCCAGACCGTTCCGCGCAGACCTGTACTGTGATGCTGCCACTTCCAGAGCCTGGATGGCCTGCGTGGGGCCCTCTGCTCCCGTCTGGAGTCCCCTCCCTCCCCCACACCTGCTCCTGTCCTCTGAGGCCCCGCAGGATGCTGTCCCCATGCACCGGCTCAGCTCTCCTGCTGCAGAAACTCACGGCCCCGAGGGTCCGAGCCTCACTTCCGGCCCTGACTGTCGTGTGTCCCGCGAGCTCCCAGCTCTTTGAAGCGGGACTCGTTTCCTCACTTCACGTCCTTGTCATTGGACTGCCGTGTGCGTGTGCAGGAAGATGAGCCCTGGCCGCTGCCTCTGCTCCCAGCAGACTCTGGTCACACTCCCTCAGGCCGTGACATCTGGATGTCTCCCCACGATGTCTGAGGAACATCTGAAGAACAGTGACAGGAAGAGCTGTGGGAAGGCGAGGACGGCTGGCCACATGGCATAGCGTTAGGCGCCCTTCCTGATGCCCCTGGAGGAGCTGCCCTGAAGAAAGCTACCACTTGTAGAGAGTGTGACCTGTGGCGGCCCCTGAGCCTGGCGCCAGGAGCAAGGGGCATATGGAGCGGTGCAGGGAAGGCGCCCAGAGTGCACGGGGACCGGCCCCGGGGGTGTGGAGGCCAGCAGCAGCTTCGCCTCGTTGAGCATCGCCAGGGGCTTCCTTTACCCATGCCTGGCTCCTCCTGGCAGCAGCGCAGGATCTGAGAAGCCTGGTGTTGTGGCGCCCTCCTGGGCTCATCAGTCTCTGCTTCTGGACTTAGGTGGAGGTCTGGGTGTCCACCCCAGGCCCAGCTGCTGTGACCAGGGCACAAGCAGAGCCCCTGGGCCACACCCCCTGCAGGATGGAGTAGCACGGGCTCGTGACTAGCGCAGTCCCCCACCCAAGCTCACAGCTGCCAGTTCTTCAAGGCTTTCTGTAATAACGGTAAAGGGAGCCCCTCCTCTCTGACTGTTGCATTCAACCCCAGCTATTTCTACCCGCCCTTGTGGACACCCCTTCATCAGGGCCATCTCTCCCTGTGACATGAGCTTCTCAAGGGAGAAGGACCTGTAGTACTGCCCCCTTCCCACCCTGCGCCCTGCACCCAGATGTGATGGGTTCCCCGTGGTGGTTTTCTTGATGCTAAGGTAATCGATGAACTGCATTCCCAGCAAGGTCTTCTCAGGGTGATAGAGCAAAAGTGGAGGTAGGGGAAGAATGCTGGAATTTATGCCACATGTTTTCTGGAGGCCTCTCACCGGCTACCCACATGAGGTACTTTAATAGTGGATCACCCCAAAGACGTGATTGGCTCTCTGCAAAAGGAGAGGACGAGGCCCATTCTGTTAGCTCTGCATGTCTTCTGCTCGTCTTCCTCTTGCTTAGACGGTGCTGTCCAGTCCCTCTGTGTCCTGGGATTGCTTAATTAACATGCAGATTTTCTTCTAGGATATCAACCTACGAGTGAAGTGGCCCAATGACATATATTACAGCGACCTCATGAAGCTTGGTGGAGTTCTGGTTAACTCGACACTTATGGGAGAAACATTTTATATACTCATTGGTAAGTTTTTAAAGCTTTTCCCTCAGCAATTTTTTACATTAATGAGACAACAAAAATTAAAATAGTCTATCCTTGCCAGGCGTGGTGGTGCACACCTGTAATCCCAGCACTCCAGAGGCTGAGGCAGGAGGATCACCATGAGTTCGAGACCAGTGTTGGCTATATTGTGAGCTCAAGACCAGCCTGAACTACATAGTATAACCATCCCTCAAAAAACCAACCTCCAAAAAAAGTCTATGCTTACCTACATTGTCATATGATAGAACTGTTTCTCTGAGCCTCACAGTCCTAAACCATGGTGGGTATGTGGAGAGGACCAGCTTGGTTGAAAGCACTTCTAGGGATTTTTTCTTTTCCTGTCTGTGGCCGTGGAAACCACCAAATCGGAATCACATCAAGCAAATGTTTCTTGCCCCCTCCACTCCTGCTTCTTGTGGAACTTGAAATAGTGGTATACAGAAAGTTAATTTCTAGGACAGTTCCCCCTCTGGTTTTATATCTTTTGTTTGTTTGGTTGGTTGGTTTTTTGTTTTTTTTTTGTTTTGTTTTTTTTTTTTTTTTTGGTT